TTTTGCAATTAAAAACTTAAAACATTTAGATCCTATATAATAACAAAAAAAAAAAAAAATAAATAAATAAATAAAATAAAAAAGAACCACTTTTTACTCCAGTAAATAAAAATAAGTATGTATTTATTTTTTCATGAAAAACATATTTATTAAAAAGAAAAAGTATTTTCAATTTAAAATAGAGTACTCTTTTTTAATAAAATATATATATTTTCCTTAATAGTTTTTCTTAATAACTTTTATAAGTTTATATGCAGTTATAGTACCCTTTTATGGTATTAAAAATATAACTTTTGAGAATATATGAATATATATATCTAGACAGTGATAAAAAAAAAAAATTTTTTCATAAAATATTTTCAAAGAAAATATATGAGTAAATACATATTCTTTTGATCGAAAGCTTAAAAACTGTTGATTTACTACATTTGAATAGCTATATTTTTATTACTAAATTTAAGCACATTTTTTATTTCATGTAATTTTATAATTATTTTTCCTTAATAAAAAATGCAACGTTTATATAAAGCTTATTATAAAAATGTTCTTTAATAACAGCACCAAAAAATTTTTTTATTCTTCAATATAATTTATTTTTATTTGTATCATTTTATAAAAATTTTTAAAAAATAATTTATTTTATTAATTTACAAATGTAATATAAAGAATCATAAAAAATATATTTATTATATTTATTCAAACATATATATATATATATATTTATATATATATATTTACATTTTTATTTATTTATATATATATATATATTTACATTTTTATTTATATTTATTATTTACCTAATTACATGAGCATCAACAGCAGCATTTTTTTTTTTTTTTTTTTTTTTTTTTTTTTTTTTTTTTTTTAAATAAAAATATTTAATTTTATATTAAAAAGTGATTTTCCTTTAAAATAACATTGAACAGTAACATTTATATAGATATAAAATTATATTTATAAAATTTCTTATTTGCATTTATTTATAAAAAAAAAAATTGAACAAAATTTTGTACATAAAGAAGTATACCTTCATGAACCCCCATATATATATTTATACATATACATAAAAATATATAAATATATAAAAAACTTTTTTTAATTCTTACAATTTAAGTTTATATATATATATATATATGTATATATATATATTTATATATACATATAATATATAATATAATTGTTATTTCCAGATTTTATAAAAATAACATTAAAATAAATATTTAAACAAAAATAATACATCTTATTTTTTTTTCTTTTTCTAATTCTTTTTGAATATCAAGAGATATACATTTATTTTTAAGTAAAAATTAAAAAAAAAAATATAAGTAAGTATATATATATATATATATATATAAAGTTTATAATAAAAATATTTGCTTCTATTTTATATAAGTATTTTTATATTTGTTTATTTATTAAGTTCATTTTAATAATTTATCAATGTTTTTTAAATTATATACTTTATTAGGTAGTTATTACTATAAGTACGCACATTATATAAATATATTTATATATATTCATTATGTTTGCTTCATATATATATATATATATATATATATATATATATATATATATATTATATGTATTGATTTTATAATGTATATAAATACAAATTTAAATAAATATATAAATATATTTATAAATATGTGAATTTTTTTTTAATTAATAAAATTTTATATGTTTATAGAATATTTATTATATAAATATATAAGTTTATTTAATTTTTTTTTTTTTTTTAATTTAGTAAAATATTTTCATGTATGATGAATTTATTACATTCGTATTTATTTCATTTATACTTATATTAATTTTCATATTCATATAATATATAAACTGTTTTTTTTTCAATTTTTATATATATTTATTTGTAAAAATATATATATATATATATACAACTTTTTTTTTCAGAATAAGTAGAAATGAGTGCTAAAGAGGAAAAATTTAATAATGAAAATGATATTGAAGGAAATACAGAAGAAATTGTTGATACATTTGATGCATTAGGTTTAAATGAAAAGCTTTTAAGAGGTATTTATTCTTATGGTTTTGAAAAACCATCAGCTATTCAACAAAGGGGTATTAAACCAATTTTGAATGGATATGATACCATAGGTCAAGCTCAATCAGGAACAGGAAAAACAGCAACTTTTGTAATTTCTTCTTTACAATTAATAAATTATGATTATGTTGCATGTCAAGCATTAATTTTGGCTCCAACTCGTGAGCTAGCTCAACAAATACAAAAGGTAATTATTGAAAATATAATTCATTTAAAAAATAAAATTTTATAAATAAAAAAAAAAAAAAATATGCATATAAATACATGCATACAATTTAAAAATAGAAATAATATTTAATTATTTTCTTTATATGCTTTTATATATATATATAGGTTGTTTTGGCTTTGGGAGATTATTTAAAAGTAAAATGTCATGCTTGTGTAGGAGGAACTGTTGTAAGAGAAGATATTGACAAATTAAAACAAGGAGTACATATGGTTGTTGGTACTCCAGGAAGAGTTTATGATATGATTGATAAAAGACATTTGGGTGTAGATAGATTAAAATTATTTATTTTAGATGAAGCTGATGAAATGTTATCAAGAGGATTTAAAGCACAAATTTATGAAGTTTTTAAAAAGTTAGTTCCAGATATTCAAGTTGCTTTATTTTCTGCTACTATGCCACAAGAAATTTTAGAATTAACCACTAGATTTATGAGAGATCCTAAAACTATATTAGTTAAGAAGGATGAGTTAACACTTGAAGGTATTAGACAATTTTATGTTGCTGTAGAAAAAGAAGAATGGAAATTAGATACTTTATGTGATTTATATGAAACTTTAACTATTACCCAATCAATTATTTATTGTAACACAAGAAAAAAAGTTGATATTTTAACACAAGAAATGCACAATCGTCTTTTCACCGTTTCTTGTATGCATGGAGATATGGATCAAAAGGATAGAGATTTAATTATGAGAGAATTTAGATCAGGATCGACAAGAGTTTTAGTAACAACTGATTTATTAGCAAGAGGTATTGATGTACAACAAGTCTCTTTAGTCATTAATTATGACTTACCATGCTCACCAGATACATATATTCATAGGTATTAATTTATAAAGCTTTTTTTTTTTTTTTTTTTTTTTTTTAATCTAATAACTATTTTATGTAAATATTTATTACCCTATATTTTTTAAGGTATATTATTCGTTTATTAATTTTTTTTTTTTTTTTTTGTAGAATTGGTCGTTCAGGAAGATTTGGTCGTAAAGGAGTTGCAATTAATTTTGTTACAAATGACGATAAAGAAAAAGATAAATTAAAAAAAATTGAATCATACTATAGTACACAAATTGAAGAAATGCCTTTAGAAGTAATTTAAAAAAAAAAAAAAAAAAACAAATAATTACGAATTACATATTAAAAATTATATATGAAACTAAATGAAAACATTTTATGTATATATCCCTTCACTAATATATTGTACTTTCACTTTTATAAATCCTCCTTAAATATTTATTTTTTTTTTTTTTTTTTTTTAGGTTGCTGATTATTTGGAAAATTTTTTTTTTTTTTTTTTTTTTTTTTTTTTTTTTTTTTTTTTATTTTAATATCAAGAATTTAATTATTGTTAATATGTATTACCTTTTTAAGACAATGATATTGTAAATTTTTATTTTATAAAAAAAAATTTTATATATATATATTTTTCAAAATACAATAGTTTTCATCATATAATAATATATAGTATGCATATATATATATATAAATATATATATATATATATATGTATATATATATATATACATATTTATATATACCCCCATTTTTATTATTATAATTTTTTATATTACTAAAAAACGAAAATGTTTAAAATTTTTAATTTGTTACACGTTTATCTTTGAATTTATTTTCAATTAAGAATATATATTTTAAAATATAATTTTATTATTTTTTTAAAGAAAATATTAAAAACATTTAATAATGTAATAATTAAAAAAAAAAAAATGAAACTGTACCTTATAAAAAAAAACAAATTTTATTTCATGTAATACTCAGTATATTTTTTTATATGTATATATATATTTATGTACATATATACAATAGTTTAAATAGTTATTTTAAAAAAATAGACATAAAATTAAATGGATACTTATTTAAAAAGAAGCTTCGTTTAAAGAAAAAAAATTAAAAAATAAAACGTGTATTTATATGTTTTTTTTTTTAATTTGATAAGAAAAATGTAACTATTATTTATATAGAAGATCATTAAGTATATGATAATTTAACTCATATCTTTTTGGAATGAATTCTTTTAAAAACGTAATTGTTGGTGTATACTAATATGAAATATTAAAAGCAGATATAAATAAAAAAATGTTATTCGATACATTTTTCCATATAACAATTATACATTTAAAATTTTAAGAATATACCATTTTCATTTAATGTAATAGAAGTATTTTATTTATTAAATGTAAGTTATTATAAAAAAAAAAAAGTATTCAATTATTATATTTTATATTTGCTTTGTTAAAAATTATTTTCTTTTCTACCTTAAAAGAAATTTACAAACTTATAACAGCGTACATTATTTTTATTTATATCAAGTATAGGACGTATAATTTTCTCTTTTTGTAATTTATTTTTTGACATTAAAAATATTTAAAATTTTTTTATATATAAAGTTTTTCCGATAAATTATTACCAATAAAAAATTATTGATTATGTATATATATATATATATATATATATATATATATATATATATATATATATATATATATATATATATATATATATATTAAAAAAAAAAAAAAATTGTTTTTACGAGTTAATTAAGTAATATTTCATTTATAAATATTTTACTATGTTTTTTATTTTGGAAAATTACTTTTTATATATATTCATATTCAAATTATTTCTGTATATATATATATATATATGCTTGTAACAAATAATATTTTTTCTTTTTTATTTTACAAAGTGTGTTAAACGTTTCAGGTATTTAATTGAAAGTTTTTCCATTTTTTTAAAAATTTATAAATTTTTTTTTCTATTTTTTCACATTTACAAGTAAATGTACATACATTTTTCGACAGAATATGTAAAATATTCATTTAAAGTTTTTTTTTTTTTTTTTTTATTTTTTTTTTGAATAAAATAATACATAAAATATTCCATTTTTATAAAAATATTTCTAGTAAATACATATATTAACTTTTATTTATATTATGATAAGACATATTTTCCCTTTAAGAATTTATCTTCTGAATAAAAAGAAGCACATACTACTCTTTTTTCAAAAAGTCTTCCATTAAACATGTATTGGGCTTTTCTTGCTGTAGTTTCATCTTGATAATGAAGAAATATCTTTCCTACTCCTTCCGTATATGACAAATCTTTATTTGGTTTAGGTATTACAATATTTTGCAATGGACCATATTTTTCAGCTTCTTCTTTAACCTCTCTTAAAATTTCTTCATACTGACTATCAATAATTAAATCTTCTTGAAAAACAGCATTGGTTAATTGAACTACTCTTGATGGTTTTTCCCCAATTTTTCTAGATGCTTGAATTTGTAATCCTATAATTGAATTACTCAAAATTTTTTGAGAAATAGAATTTGGTAAAAGTGATACAGGTACTTCTACATTGTTAGCAATACTTATATTATTCGGATTTTGTGCATATATATTATTTTGATTTTTATTAAATGTAGCTTTTTTCACGTTAAGAATATTTTGTCCACACACAAAACCATTTAAAGCATGAATGGCAACTTGTGTGCAAGCACTATCTTCATATTCAAAAAATCCATATCCTTTATTTAAACCTGTATTAAGATCTTTTATTATGTTAAATGCTTTTAATTTTCCAAATTGTTCTAATAAATCTTTTATTTGATCATCTTTTAAATCATGTGGTAAATTCTGTATATATAATTTGTTATCATCATCACCACTTTTAACATATACATTTTTACTTGGTTTTAACATATCAAATATTTTCATATCAATATCAGGAAATACAGCAGTAAGTGCAGGATCTCCTTCTGGTGGGGGTACATAATCGTGAGGTCTACCAATTCTTAAACAATAATTATTAAAAGAAATGGAATCTAATTTTAAACATAACCATGTAATTTCTATTGTTCTAAATTCTAAGAAGCAAAATCTTGAATCAATATTAAATATTTCACATTTTATTACTGGCATTAATTGAATATCACCGATTTTTACATCTAAACTTGTATCCTTTATAACTGCTAATAATGCACCATTAAAAAAATCTATAACATCTTCTTGTTTGCAATTTGGTGGTATATTACCAATATATAACTTCCTTTGTCTCTTATCATTCTCCATTTCATATGGATTTCTATTTAATTGTGTAACTTTACTATTTTGTGCTAAACTATTTGTTAATGCTAAATTTTGCTTTTGAAGTAAGCTATTCATACCATTATCTAATAAATTATTTTTAAGTAAACTTTCATCAACTGTATCCCATTTAGTTTTTTTTTTTTGTTTTACTTCCTTATTTTTGATTACTTCACTTGAAACAGATCTTTCATTTTTTTCATGTACGCTTTTACTTGAACTTTTATTTGAATTTCTATCACTACTACTGCGTAAATTTTTTTTTTTTATTTTTTTTTTTATTTTGTGATAATGTCTTTCTTCACTACTTAAGCTACTACTACTACTTAAATTTTTACTTTTTTCTTTACTTCTATATCTATTTTTACTTCTATTTCTACTTTTTTCTTTACTTCTATTCCTATATTTTTCTTTACTTCTATTTTTACTTCTATTCCTACTTCTTTCTTTGCTTCGATTTATACTTTTCTTTCTTTTAGATGAATGTAGTTCATCACCACTGGAGGAGAAACCTTTGTGCCTTTTTTTACTTTTGTATCTATCTTTACTTCTATGTCTACTTTTTTCTTTACTTTTGCTTTTGTATTGCTCTATACTAGAACTATGATGTTCGTTTGATTTTGTCTTTTCTTTATTCAATTTCATTTTCTCATTTATTTCATTATTTAACATTTCTTTACTTCTTTTTCTATTTTTTTTTTCATTAATTTCACTATTTACTACTGTTTCTTCATTTTTATCTTTGTTTTTTTTTTCTTCTACTAATTTGTTTATTTCTATTCCTAACTCACTAAATTTTTTTTCGCTATTTTCTTTTTTTTTATCATAATCATTATCCCTTTTTCTGCTACTTACTTCCTCTTTATTATTTTTTTCACTTTTTCTATTTGTATCATTTAAATTTGTATTTACATCGTTTTCATAAATGTGCTTATCATTTTTCTTATTAATATTATTTTCTTCTGATGGTTTTTCATATATATTCGAATGACCGTTCATTTTTTTTAGAGCTGTAGTAGAATTACTGTTTGAATTAGAATTAGTTACTTCATATTTTATTTCATATCTATTATCATTTTCTTCTTTATTTAAATCTGTATTTTTATTATAATCATTATTTAATTCACTTGTATCATTATCATTTTTTGAATTATTTTTAAAAGAATTGATACTTTCTTTTCTTGTTATATTCTTTATATTATTAGTTTTACTAATTTTTTCTTTTATTAAATGATTATTTTTTTCAACATTTTTAGCGTTATTTACATAATTTTTGTCATTCATTTTAATTTTATAGAAAATTCATTATACTTGTGTATTATTTTTTTTCTGTTAAATTAAGTATATATAAAAATTTATAAAAAATATATTTTTAAAAACTTTCTTTTCTATATATTTTTAAAAATATATTTTTAAGTAATAATATATATATAACATAAAAAAAAAAAAAAAAAAAAAAATTTTATGTATATATGTAAGTAATAAAAAAAAAAAAAAAAAAAATTGCTATCTATAATTTGTATTCAATTTAAAAAAAAAAAAAAAAAAAAATAGTAATTCTTAATATATGCTATTATATTTAAAATATTAAATTGATAAATTATTATTTATGAAAAATTCTTTACTTTAAAAAAAAATTTATGAGTAATAATAATTATTTTATTACATGCTTTTTTTTTTAATTATATTTAAATTATATAAAAATTTTAAATATGTAATAAAAGAAATTTAAAATATTTTTACTAAAGCAATAATATATACTATTTTATTGTATTTAAAATCGATTAAGTAAATTAAAATATTAGATATAGAAAATAGTTATTTTTTTTTTCTTTTAAATTACGTGTTTTTAAATGTTAACAATCTTTCACTATCTTTTCATACATATTGATTCTAAAAAAGATAATTTTTATAATTATGAAAATGAGAAACATTTATAATAACTATTTTATTTGATATAGAGATATTTGTATTATATATATATATATATATTTTTTTTTTTATATATATTCTTAATATTTTATATATTATATTACTTTTATTTTGTCCTTTCTTTTAACAAATTATAGATGTGTGAACAAAAAGAAAACGTTTATAAGAATACAAGAAATTATTTATAAATGAAACTCTAAATATTTTTTTTCATTTATAAGATGATGTAAGTTTGTACAAACATAAAGGTGTAACAAACTTAATTTTTAATATTTCAACTTAAGAAAAAAAAAAAAAAAACCTTTTAAAAAACAATTTTTTAAATATGAAATATCATACAATATTTTATCTAGAAAAAAAAAATATATATATATATGCAATATTGTTCTCTTAATAATTATTAAAAATTTATTAAATACACACTTATTTAATTTTGTAACTTAAGTAGTAAAAAAAGAGAAACAAAATATAAAATTTTGAAATACTTTTCTTATACATATATATATATATATATAAGATTATTAAATTTTAATAAAAAAAAGTAAATATATTTTTTTTTTTTTTTTTTTTTCTTTTGATAAATTGAATGCTTATATTCCAAATTTTTTATTTTTTTTATCTAAAAGTTAAAACAAAATCTGTAATATATATATATATGTATTTATAGAACATAGGAATATATTTAGCTTATAGGAAAAAAAGAAAATCTTTATTATAATTTTGGTTACGTATCATCATAAAAATCATTTTTTTTTTTTATGTCATTTTTCAAGTTTTCAAAAACTGGTAAATTAGGTTCATCAACATCTTTATAATCATTTTTTGCATTTTTCGGTATTAAATGAAAATTTTCATTTTTATAATTTTTATTTCTTTTATAAAAATTTTTAGATAAATAATTTCTTGAATATGAATTATATTTTTTTTCCATCATATAAAAAAAGTGAAAACTATGAGGAGCTTCAAAAAAATTTTTTTTCATAATTTCTACTTCAGTTTCAGTTATTAATTTCATTTTAATCTGATTATGTTTAGTAAAAATATGATTAGGGACATCTTTTATATTATGGAAAAGCTTTTTACATTTGGCACATCTTATTTCATTTTCATTATTATTAGTTTTTAATATGTAATTCTTTTTAAGTATATTAAAAAATTCTTTTGTTTTTTCTATATCTATATTTTTGTTATAATCAGCTTTTAATGCATCATTAATTTCTTCATCAAAGTTAATTAACCACTTTAATTGATAATCAGAAATTAATTCATTATTATATATTTTTTTCATATTCTGTAATTTATTATTATCACTTTTTTTTTCTTTACAGTTTTCATTATGTATATTATTTATATCATCACATATGTTTCTGCTATTATCATCAGTTATATTATTTTTTTCTAATTCATTGTTTAAATTTGAATATTCTCCTAAAATA